CGGTTCTACTCGCCTTCCAGGATGGGGACCGCGTGATCTTCACTGCGCCTGGTTGGAGACACTACAGGATATGGCTGCCAACCGATGTCAGTGGCGTTCTTGTTGTCAGTTTCTGTCCAGATTGCCTGAGTGAATGTCTGGAGGTGTAGGCACCTCGGAATGATTGTGTTAAGCTAGCACTGAATCCCTCCCTCATCCACCTTTATTCTTTTCTTTACGGCTTTGCTTTCAAATAAGTCACGGTTGTGCGGCAGTGAAGCATCGGTGTTGAACACTGATGTCATGCTGTCGATGATGATGTGCTAAAAGTTCGCAATGATGATGTGCTTCGGCAAAAGTTCGCTTGAATCCCAGTTTGCTTTAAGCAAAGCAGGTTTATAAAACAACAATGTCCAGTTCAGCTCGTTCCAGCTTATCACCTTTAATCCGTGACACAACGTACGTTAATTCGAGCAACCAGTTTCGTTCGCTAGTGACAGAATGGAATGCAAGATGGGGTGACCACACATTGAAGGCAATCTCATAAAGATTTTGCTGATGTCGTATCACTCAGCCTTACAGCTACACATTGAGTGCAATATCATTGTCGAACGTGTGTCGCTGACTGTGCGATTGAGCCACGTGTCAGTGAGACCAACTACTGGTGAAAGGAGGGCCTTCGGTGCGGAGTGGTTCACTAGAAAGACACCAAATGAACGGTTACAGACTGTTGGACAAGAGAGCAGAAGTCTCACGTGCATCTTGTTTACAAAACTGAACATCCATCTCCTTGAACGCGTCTTCCTGAAATTTCTTGGATGTTCATTGACTGCTACTCAAACGCAAACAAATACTACAAAGCGATCCACAAATTGTGGTTCACTAGAAAGACACCAAATGAACGGTTACAGACTGTTGGACAAGAGAGCAGAAGTCTCACGTGCATCTTGTTTACAAAACTGAACATCCATCTTCTCCTTGAACGCGTCCTCCTGAAATTTCTGTTCAGTTCATTGACTGCTACTCAAACGCAAACAAATACTACAAAGCGGCTCCACAAATTCAGTTACAGATTCCACTTTTCAAGAGAAACGAAGCGGAGCTACGTGAGAACATACTACTCGCGTACTCCCACCAGTAGTATCCACCGGTACACTGGTATGTCTCGTCCCGGAAGGATGAGGGTGGTCAACATGGCCCAGTTCACTAGCCAGTCATTTCAAAGTTCCTTGCCAAATCATAGAGTGACTACCTGTAAGTCATTCCCAGCTTCAATTTAAGGTGGTGGGAGTGGTGAAAATGCGTTATCTAGGAAAAAAGTCCTCTGAAAGGCGAAGCACAAGTCATGGCGCTAGTTCGTCTACCGCAAGTGAGCAGCCGTTCCAAAAAATACATCTGGTATGCTTAAGCATTACTGATCCAAAGTGCCGCTCCCAACCCAAACAATGCCTCTAAATAACAAAGTGCGCTCACCGGGACACCAGCAGCAAGCAGCGGGCCGATTGAAGACTGACTGTGTGGCGCGGGAACAGCTACCAAGGTGGCGACCTCCGGTGTGGTGGAATGTGCAGCTGGTGGAGACTGGGGGCAAATTGAGGATGAGAACAATAGTGCATTAGGGAGCAGAGTATTTCCGACCATTGCGGCCACACTTCCATCAGAATCAGAAAGGATGCCACTTGTCTCATCTGAACCTTGAGGTTGTGGATGCTGGCGAGCTAACAAATGTTGCGGCGTGGGGGCGTTTGTTATCGAGAAACTACTGGAGGCTGCATCGGTGGATGCTCGTGCAATCAACTCAACTAAATTGGCAGTTGTCTCGGATCCAGCGCATACAGGGGTGTCATTTGGAACTGCAAACAAGGGAAAATCATAGGATGTGTTGAGATAGCATGCAACATCAAATATACAGAGCTAAGCTAAGCCTACCCCTGTACAAAACGAAAAAAATGAATAAACGTACTAATCAGTCATCTATGAGGTCCTGTTGGTCTGTAGCTGCCTACCAAAAGCACGGTAGTCAGATTGCCATCCCAGGTGCTTAGGCCTAAACAGCGATCAAAGAAGTCCAGATGAGAATAGAGCTGAAAATGTTTAAGTAGGGAACCCGCCCTCCAGCTTCAGCACCAGAGGACCGAAACCCGCACACACGCGCCTGCAAACTGGGCAGGTTAAACCGAATATCTATTGAACTGAACAAGCAAGTCCTATTCAACATAAAGTACACCTTGCTATGAGGTCACCCTCTGTGAGCCCTAATAAACGTACCCCTGATAATAGTGTCATCCCCTCAACCCTAATCCACCTTTGATTGTACTTCTGAAGTTTTACCGTCCTGATAGTGCAGGTGTGACCAGTGTTCATTTGCTATATCATGTTCATGCGGTTAGTTGGCTCCAAAGCCACATTCGTGTTGGAGGTCTGATCATTATTTCTAATATTAATCAACCATCTCTAAACTTAATAAAATTGTTCAGCTGTAGCACACTTCCGGTGCCTAGCTGCCATGCCACACGAAGGAAGCATGCCTGAGCCTAGACAGGGGAAGTCGAGAGGCGGAGGTCGGGTTCCAAACACGGACCTTCCGGTCAGTAAATTCGCGCTCTAACCACCCGAGCCATCTCTCCCACCATCTCTAACAGATACCAGCTGATCAACCACCACAGTAGAAACACTAAAAAGCCTGATCAGAAGTGACCTGATTACCGCATACAGTTTTGTTGAACATCATTCCACTACGAAAATTATATGAGGAAATTCAGATTAAGTATTTGGCGATTTCACTGAGGAAAGAAAAGGAAGCGACCAACAAATGGACTAAATATAGTAATCAGTATGAAGAGAGGACACAAAAAGGAAAATGGTCTTTCAGTCTGTCCTGGGCGCCGGCCTCACTTCCTCTGGATCACTGGTGTTGCGGCCTCTCCGGGAATGGGTTCTCTTTGCAGAGGTTAATGTAAAACCAAATTTGTGAGACACTTGAAGCACTGCGGATGTTGCAAATCTGCTGTCACCCTACTGAAGAAGTTGTGTTTGGGTCAGAAATACAGAGGCGGACACCTTGAGCAACGAAATGTCGTTCGAATATTCACCTAAAGTCAGTTCACACACAATGTCCGCACCACCCACAAGGAATTAGGTGTTCCTCACCAAACACTTGCTGTTAAATCACGGGCAAATTTATCCAACATTTGTAAATCTAATCACGATATATCAGCACCTCTTGAACTTGGTACAGTGATGTCTTGTATGCTTGGCTGTGAGACTTGGCCTATTCGAGCAGCGGAACTAAGACGTCTTCAGGTGGCCAACCCTTGACTTGGCAGAGGAGTATGAAGATCACGAAACGCTTTGGTGCTACTCGCCTTCTACGATGGGCACCGCGTGATCCTCACTGCGCCTGGTTGGAGACGCTGTAACATATGACCGATGTCAGTAGCACCCTTGCTGTCAGTTTCTATCCAGATTGGCTGAGTGAATGTCTGGAGGTGTAGGCACCTCGGAATGATTGTGGTAAGCTAGTACTAAGTCCCTTCCCCGTCCACCTTTACTCCTTTTTTTACAATAAGGCTTTCAAATAAATCATGGTTGTAAGGTAGTGAGGCATCGGCGGTGAACACTGATGTCATGCTGTCGATGATGATGATCTCCCAGTCTTATGAATACAGCTGTCTCGAAAGTAGTTCATTATCCAGCAGTCTGACCCACATAATTACTTATCGTAGAAAAACAGCGAATATAGAACTTACAGTATGCGACGCTTTACACCGCTGCTTGAACGAGGGACGAGATTTCATTGGTCCATTAAGCCTAGAGATCACGTTGACCCCTGATCTTATTCCAGTCAATGACAACATCACGATACCAGCAGCAGATTATGGCTTTGACAAGAAATTTTCTAACCTTTAGGCGACTAAATTTAGTGGGAAAGATATCGACACTCTCTAGAGCTGTCGATTGTCACCATGCTGGGAGATGACCGATAGGTAAAGACGGAATTCATGTCTAGTGGAGGAACAAAATGACGCGCTGGCGGACACGTGACTCAGTGTGACGTCCAATGAGTGATAGCTCACTACGACACGAAATGAAGTTAGTCTCACAGGGATTAGGGCGTTCTTCTCCAAATGAGAGAGCCGGAAAAATGACATGCCTGATGGGGTGGAGAACAGAATGCTAATGTGGGTCCTAGTGTCTTGCCATCAGAGTAAACTATGACAAGTTAGTTAGGTCTGCATTGAAAAAAGGCAGTATTTAGAAGATGGACTGCCAAAAGTTGCAGCTCAAACGGAAACAGGAGAATAGAGCAGTTTTTGTGGTCTGCAAAGTCCCTTCAGCGGACCAAAACAGGTCAGGTCCGATGGGTATTGGATACAGGCTTTTACAGGGGCATGTAAATCAGTCAGATTTCAGTCATTCAGTGGGCTGAAAGCCAAAAAAGTATTCCTTGACATTTACATATAACGCATCTATCGAATTCTCCTGTGACTGACTTGTTCACAGGTTTAATTCACTTTACAGTATAGCTTGTGCGACAGGCAAATTCGGTCCTTGCTTGATGCAAGCCACCAGGAAACGGGAAGGACAACTAGGCCCAGCAAATCAAAGACAGTTGGAGGAATCAATACCAATAAAGGACAAAACCTACTTGATGCTGGAGATAATGAGCCCGCACCGACCGGGTTTGGGTCCATATTGCCGCCGGTGCGGATGTAAACAAGCGGCAGCACTGGGGCAGCAGTAACTGGAGTACTGGAAACAGTCCCTGAGCTCGAATTAAGTTCAGTAGGTTCGTTGGCTGCAATCAATGGGGTTGGGAGGATGGTCCTTTGCTTGGAACGTGTTTTCGTCATGGTGGCAACAACAGATTCGTCCAAGAACTCTTTCGCAACATGACGTTTACCCGGCAGAGTGCGTAGGCGTAATGAACTGTGAACTGAGCAGATTAGTCGGATACTCGAAGGTTAGCGTTTATATCCGCAAGAAGAAAACAATATCAGCCCAAATCTAAGCACACTATGGCCTTCTTTTGATAAAGCCTGTGATAAACCCCTGTCTAGGCTTGGGCAACCTGGCAGTATATCAGCCCTCGTGCCTCCTTCAGGTGGTATGGCAGCTGGGCACCGACTGAAAACCCGTGTGGAACCGATTAGGATGTTTTTTTCGTGTTCATAATCCGTCCAAATGAAGATTTGCTACTCTCGGTCGCAATTCAGTCTATCATTGGACGACGTGCCCATATATTGGTCTACGTGATTACTCGCCAGGACTTCATCAGCTTCACACGGCCTTGCTTGTCAGAGGGAATTAACTCCGAAAGGATGGGACGTTTCCTCAGCATCAAACAGTTCTAGCTGTGACCGGACTCTGTGTGATTTGGTCCAGTTATCGAATTAGGAATATGACTACTTTTGGATAGTAAGAGAGGTGTTCCCAACTTTTCACTAATCCGAGGATATGATAACTGCCTGGCCGTGGGCTGTTCCAGGATAGACCGTCTAAACCAATCAACATGCGTCTGCGTAATCGAAAAGCGTCATACACGATGTAACGTGATTACAAGCACGACAGATGATTGGACAGCCTTGGGTGAGGCCGTGAATCGGGGGTGCGAATAAAATGTCCTTTGATCAATCATAGCGAGGTCACGGAGGACCTGATAATCGTCAAGCCATAGGGTTAAAATTTTACCGGAAATCTATGGTGAGGATGGGTCTAAATAAAGACACAAGCGTCCGTCTATCTAAGGATTTCGGGATCCGGTAACTGACCACTTTACTTTATAACATCAACTTTGTTAAATGTATGCTTCACACATTCAGTAACTTTGTAACTGTGAGATGAAGGCTCATGCACTAAGAACGACGAATCAACTGGAAAACATGTCAACAATACAAGCTAAGGATATCGCATGAAAACTGAGCAAACATGTTCCCTACATGAAATCACAGGTTGGTCATTTTGGAACTTTGCCCCTTCAGAGAAGACTGGAGTACAAGAAAAAACAAGGAACAAGCTAACAAGAGCTTGATAGCATTTCATTCCGGGATTAGTGAATTCAGACCATCTTACAACTATACGAAAACACTACGAAGAGTAGTAGGCGTGGGGGGATCATTGAAAAACGGTGCATTTCGTTACAGGGCAACTGACACTCCTTTCAGTGTGACACGTCAACGACACAGGTACCGGCATCACATGCCATTTTTCCGATCAGTACTAATCCAGAGTTTACAAAATCTAGGCTGAATGAGACAATCAAGTGGGGAGAGTAAGCATGAAGCTTAGTTTTTGAATGAGAAGTGCCGAGCTCCCCAACAACAGCGTGTGTTTGGCATTAGGGTATGACTAAGACAACTGCGGTTCACCCATGTAATCAGAGTAGCCCATTCACTCAGTGGACGTGACAACGTGACCGTTGGCCACAAAACCCAACCCGTTATAACGCTTGTACTGAAAGACTCCGTTGCACCTTTGCTCCGCTCATACGCAACGTTCATTTCTACAAACTCTCAAGTTTGATTGGGAGGAACATGTTATCATGAAAACATTCATATCCATCAATCACCAAGTCATTTGGGGACAATTAAACGATACGACCCCGTAGTGTTTGTGCAGAATGGTTCAATGGTCTCCAAGACACACACATAGCGCTGGTCAGTATTAGCTAACGACCATTTTTAGCCTGTAAGGTGGTCAGACAGTCACATCGATCCGGATAGCCAGAATGCTGAAATGACCTCAAACTGGAGGCAGTAAAGAGATAAATCCAACAGTGTGGCCTTCAGATAAACTGAGATAGGTGTGATAAGCTTCTTTCATCTCTTGTTTTCCTTGATGGACATTAGGCCCTGATAACCAGAGTTTCTAGCATTCTGCAAGGTCACAGCAAGGAAGGTTAGGTTACATTATGGCTTCGCTTTAGAGGGAACAACACAAGACCGAATAAAATGGTTCTCGTGGGGGAAGGCATTCTTCGGAAATCGGATTCGATGCTCAGCGCTCCGAATACGTATGAGAGCCCCCTTGCGATCAAGGTTTATTTGGGAAGCACATCCAGAGTTGCTTGTTAATTTTTACGTTGCTTTTCCACTGTATTGACCGCGTTTAGGTTGTCCTGACACCATGCTTTATTTGCCAAGATGAGTGCTTACATTCGACTGATTGATCTACCAAGCAGTGGAGTAATACGGGTTATTACCTAACCGGTAATATCACCTCCGGGATCCCATTTGCGTGTTTCCTGGCCACACATACCATGTGCATGTGAGCTCGGAAACTGGTGTTAAGTCGCCGGTGGTGGTATAACCACCCAAAAACACGCTCCTAAGAGTTGAGACACCGCAGGGATTTCATCGCTGACGTCACAGTTGAGTTTCGTGCTCCGCCCAGCTACAAGCCCTTCATCGATAGTACATTTATGAAGAGAATTTGGAACAGTCCTCAGCGTAACTTTGTCACGATAGTGTTTGGACCATAATATGGTATCTACAAGCTGCACCGAAGATACCAATGAAATCAAGTGTTTGAAAGCGTTCCCTAGTTGGTGTGCTCGAATTCTTCTGCGAGATTCGACAACCACTCCTTTCTTCTATATGACAATTTCATTGGATAGATAATTCCCTCCACGAGTGGCTGTAAGTGAGCTCAGTGCGCCTGGTGGCAGAAAAAGCTGTGGTACAAAACTATGTCAAATTTACCCTACTGTTGGACTTTCCTGGATACCTGAAAATTCCTGTGATAATTCAAAGGGTCTATATCGTTGGAGCACATTGAAGAGCTCACTTTCCCTTTCCACTGCCTTGACCAGTCACAATGCATACCAGTAAGATGGCCATCTACTCTGCGAATCTCTGCTTTGCCTCGGACGAGGTTTCAGTTATAGGGTCTCGGAAGAAAACAAAAACCTCGCCTCATTTTCTCGTAGCTACATAAAGCGGTTGAACGTGCTGTGTTCAAGCTCCTGAAACTCAGAATTTAGTTGATTGCCTAGTGGTACATTTTAGGCACCGTGGTCCATACAACAACCAAGTGGCAAAGGAATGCTGTAGTCAGTTGAAAAAAACTAATGGAAACAACCATGGGAATTACCTGTCTGTTGTGAGCCGACCCGGATAGGTGCAACAGTAGACGTGCTCGAATCCATTTCGGAAATAGGCCCCGCTACATTCGCCAATTGCACATAGGCCACTGGTGGACTGGATGCGCCCTCGGCAAGGAAACCGGCGGCATTAGCTGACAGAATTATCGGAGTACCCAGAATGGTAGCGGCCAAATCATTCGGATTGGACTGGCCATAGGTAACACTGGTGTCTGCACCACCCACCGCACTGGCATCCCCACCGGCTACAACATATCGTGGAATTGGGTAACTCGTTGGACAGACACCGGTTGCACCACGCAGAAGCGTGTCCGGGCTGGAAGCCATGGAAATCGTCGCGTAGGCGCTGGTTGATGTAATGTAGAACTAGAAAAGGGTGAAAATGGAAAACAGCAAGTGTAGTAAGGCAATTACGTGATAACGTAGATAGCATTTGCAGTCTGCATCAGTGTTGAACACTGATGTCACGCTGTCGATGATGATGATGATGATGATGATGATGATGATGATGATGATGATGATGATGATTTGCAGTCTGCAAGCAATGCGGACAGGTGTAATTATGGAAATTAAGCAGGGGGTAGGGAATACAAGTGTCGAAATCCTAGCAAGTTGGGTTGCAACATAAAAACTCCTCGACAGGGGGTCAACGGGTTCAAATATTTCCAGTGAATTATATCAAAGATGAAAGAAAGGGCATTCTGTTTACACAAGCAACTAGGCACTGAAATATTTTAACCTGAGATCCTGATGTGGCAAATGATGATGATAATGATGATGATGATGATGATGATGATGATGATGATGATGATGATGATGATGATGATGATGATGATTTGCAGTCTGCAAGCAATGCGGACAGGTGTAATTATGGAAATTAAGCAGGGGGTAGGGAATACAAGTGTCGAAATCCTAGCAAGTTGGGTTGCAACATAAAAACTCCTCGACAGGGGGTCAACGGGTTCAAATATTTCCAGTGAATTATATCAAAGATGAAAGAAAGGGCATTCTGTTTACACAAGCAACTAGGCACTGAAATATTTTAACCTGAGATCCTGATGTGGCAAACTAGCCCCGATCAATATGTCCAGCATCCCATTGCCTTGAAGTATCGCAGTCGTCCTGCTTCCTTCGGGTGGTATGGAGGCATCCAAAGGATGTTACAGCTGAACGACCGATCGTTATCGCCTGCCTTCACACTTGTCTCAGCCGAATGATGTTATTGTTATGACAATGCATCTGTTAGCCACTGTCGACAAGTCCACCTTATGTTGCAGGCCCTAGTACCGATGCTAAGGTCGTCCACAGGGTACACAAGGTCACTTCAGCTTCACAACTCACTGCCGCTGTTTGGTGTCCAAAAGGCGTCAAACTGTCCATCAATAACAAGGCTTTTGGTGTTTGATTGTGATCAAAAGTGTATAGAACTCGTCTTTCTCCACCATACATACTCCTGCCAGCTGATTACGGTCAAGTCGACGAATCGGATGAACAATGAAAACGCATAAAGATGACAAGCCAAGTCCATGTTTGACGAAAGACCTCGTGGAAATTACAATTACTCGAAAATCCAGAAAGCTAACATATAACGTTGTGTTGGATAGCCCCTCCCTACTCTTCATCGTTATGACTCTAATCAGTAGAATAACTACCTTTATCGGTTATCGTTTTCCCATGATAACCTACACAAGGACAGCAGCAGATAGCTGCTCAAAAGAACCGAACAATGGTGAGAACCGCGAAGACTCGAAAGATGGGTGAATGTGGGTCCAACTAGCTTGCGTAACGCCGTAATCCCCGTTCATATGACATACCGGCAATTAGTGTTGTGCAGAGGTTAGGGTTGTAGCTACAGACGTCACCACCTTACTTTTTTTCTCGCCGAAAGCGCATAACATGGGGGCTGCTGTAATCTCGACCACAAACGGAATAACCTGTATTGCACGTGGGATAAGCCTGCAGTGCCACCAATCAGGGACATGGGTGCAATTCACTAAAAAGCCATCAAGTTGAATCGGTCCTCATAACAGAAATGAATTGTGTTACGATAATCTATCATGGTAGAACGTGAGGACAACTCTTGGAGGATTAACACATATCCAAAAAGGCCAAAAACATATCGCGATAGTACTCACCTGTGCAGTCGGTTGCTCACCATTGTGTGGCTTGGCATCCACATCCATATAGTTTGGCAGAAGTTCAATCAGTTCGGTTTCTTCAGCCGCACCCGGAACTGAGGGCTTTCCAGGCGGATGTGCTTGATCGTGAATCTGTGAGCGGGAACGGCACGTATGTCTATAGACTGCAATCTCAAGGATTCTTAGCAATGGGGACGGAGCGTAAAATAATGCAGGAAAATGTCTCGTACAGGCCTGTGGAGAAGAAATAAACAGACGAGGAGGTACAAACCAAAGTACAATGCAGCGGTCAAAGACGGTTAAAATAAGTATACGAGGAGGGACGGCAAAAAGTGCTGGCCATGATACTTACAAAAGGCACTCAGATGGCAGTTTCATGCTGACAACATATTGGAGAACAAACACTGACTTAACTACATACGAGGGGAATGTCGAAAACTCGGTATATGTCAACCAGACAACTACAAGAAACAAAGAAAGACGGCAAAGACAATGACGCCACTAAAAATTAGCGACAAACCACCTATCACATTCCGATTAATGCTACCTACACCTTGAAAAACAGACCCCTCCGAGGAAGAGAGAACGGAACAGCCAAGACAACAGTCGCATATGCAGCATTCACCGACCACATCCGTCGCACACGACTAACTAACACAAACGATATGTGATGCAAGGTTTTATGGGAGAATTCAACAGTACTCTTAGGCCAACTCGTGACCGTTCGGTTGTTTCGGTGCATATCTGTCATGCGCCTAGTGACCAATAAGCAGTCATACATGAGGTTCGTTGACCACAGTTTTACAAGGGACATGAAAGTGGTGGGAGATAACGGAAATACCATGCAGTGACCAAACGTGCGTCGTGCGGGAGAAAAAAAATTACCTCCGGAGGAAAGTTATATAAAGTGACCAAACGTGCGTCGTGCGGGAGAAAAAAAATTACCTCCGGAGGAACAGTTATATAATATACTGGAAAAGAGGACACGTAGTGAAAATAATCAGTTGCGTTCTTAACAGTTACAGTTGACTAAACGCTAAGTTTGGTCTATTCGAACCGGGACTATTCCATCCCGAACAACTGGGAAATTATAAGAACTGACATCAAATCATCTTAACAAAAACAAAGTAATCGCACCACAACTTACCTGTGTCAGCATCTGCCGCGTCTTGTTCGTCATCGAGTTGCTGGCTTTTCAGCCACCAACAAGAGAATATTATTGAAACTACAAAAACGACCAAGACCAACGACGAAATTGTGACAAGTAAGAGCTGCACATATATTCTTTCCTCATCACCCGCAGATTTCGTCGGGTATTGCTGGCTCTGTGTAAACTGCGGAAACTGATAAGAGAATAAATGCACGTATATTGCTAAAGGAGACACGTACCAGCTCAACATACAGTGAGTCCTCTGTGTGGCGCACCGCGTACCGCACTTGTTCAGTATATGAAACTTCTGAGGTGACATTAATCAATATTTGGAACTTGTTCACCGGCGACTCAGCTACTTCGATCACACCCTGAGTACAAACGGGGCAAGGTAGAAGCAAATGTAAGATGAGAAACATCGATCTGAGAGAAGGCATGAAAGTATCCCTAAAAAATCCAAATCAGGCTGTTTGGCGTAGTCCGTTACCCAAAAGTACTGGATAGGGAAAGCACTCTGAGTGAAACAAACCGTTGCAATTCGCACAGTTGAATTGCCCTTCTCCGTTGAGACATTGCTAAACCATCACTGTTCAAATGAACAGAACATTCTAATGATCACAAGATAAGCAGAGTCAGAACCATGGAAACGCTTGGATGCTTAGTCAATGATCACATATATGAACATGCAAGGACTGAGGCACCAATTAGGACGACGTGAAGATGTATAGGTATGACGTTTTCCGTTCAATGGATATTGTAGTGGACAGTACTATTACCAGGCAAGAGAACTATTAATCAGCTAAATGGTCTGAAACAGAGACATTAGACCCGCTTCATGACCCCAGGTGCAATGTCTCCTCTGTCCTCTATAAATACGTCTGAACTGGCGTTTTTTCCGCTGCCAGACCTGATTTATCACCGTTTTTCTCTGACTCACGTGTAAGTGCTTGTATTTACTTATCTGATATATTTTAATTCATTCATTTCATACACCATGGGGAATGGAAGGAAAGGTGGTGACCTCATTGTGCAGTATTTCGCCTCTGGCCAAACTGCATTTCAACTTCTGCTGCAAATTTGCCTGCGTCGATGCTGCGAATGACGGTGATGACAATGGACTAGCTGCATCCAACATGCTCGTTTGGGGTTTTCACAGAAAAATTATCGTTCAACCGTAACACCCTTTCGGTGCCTAGCTGCCATGCAACCCGAATGAAGCACGAGGGCTGAGATACTGCCAGACTGCCCAAGCCTAGACAGGGGAAGTTGAAAGACAGATGTCGGGTTCGAACCACGGATCCTCTAGCCAGTAAACTCACACTGCAACCACTTAAACGATCTCGCCCCCACAGGGTCAGCGAAGAAGCCACTACGCACCAGCTACTTTCAGTTTATGCTTGAGCTGGGTAAGACTGTCGTATGTGGAAAGTGGAAAAAATGGAAAGTCGATCACCGTTCACAGGTATCTCTGGGTAAAATTCAACTTGAATCACCGGCTGAGCCCACAGGTCTTTGGGAAAATTCGGTGTGAAAATCTCCAGACCTCTCCGTGGGAAAGGCCGTAGATGTATACGCCAAGACACAATAGCCTAACAGCTACGCAGCTAAAAGGTGCTACAGCTTAATCATTTTTATAATACACGCACCGTATATAGACTAGAGCAGGCAATTTCGACCGATGGGATAATAAGATTGTGGATTATCGAGCTCAATCCCCCAACAGAACGTCACCAGCTCTCTCGAGGATAGTACTGGTCGAATGGCCCACCTTATCCGGTTGGTGTAATTGTACAGCATCCTCCGGTTCTAAGTGGGATGGCGACCAGGTGAAGTTCGTCATGTAAAAGGTCCCTTGGGGATACGAATTCACCTTAACTGGTCTAATGGGGGTCTATTACAGAGCACCTAGGCGAAACCTTACTAAATCACAATATTTTAGATTTGGCCTCTGACTGGCTTTTGTGTGGAGTGTGGATTTTCCATGCGACCAGTTGCTTAGGACCACCACGCGATGAGTAAAGGCCCCCATGTGTCGCCAGCTGGAACGGATGCAAAAGTTCATATCACTTGCGCCGAGAAAGCCCTTGAAAACATCGTTTGTCCCATTGTAACAGCGTACATGAGGGTTTTCGCCTCCTGTCAATATGCCACATGTTTATTGTAACGCAAACATCAATAGGGACCAGGGTGTTTACACAAAATTGCATCAACCATAAATCTTCGGCTTGTATGCATGACCTTCAGGATGGAAGGAACTGTGACAGTTGCAAACACTTATCATTCTCCACATTTCCTACATTTGTTCATCGATACACATCCACACCCAACTAAGATGTATGGTATGTCTTAATGGACCTACCCGCGCGTACGTGCCTTCTTCCTGATCGCTGTGGCTTCGGATGCTACGAAGCGGGAAGGCAGCAAGCTGGTATTTCTAATCGACCAGTTGAACATGAACACAGTCAATCTGTTTCTCGGTATCAAAATCAGGCCGCCAATGAACTCTTCTGTTTGGAACAATATTTTCATATGTTTGAACTCTGTACAAAAATGGCCTTCACGTGAATTGTCGGACTATCATTAACTTGCGATACCCTACTTATTTCAATTATGAACCGATACTGGTTGGTGATACAACATGACAATTGGGCGGTTAGGCGAAAGCGCCCGCTGCAATTCAATGTGTGCCAGAGTGTGCACGTCGACTACAGAAAAGTTAAACTATTGTCACCAATCCAGTGTCAGGAGGCGCCTGGATTGGTGTATGACGAAGGTTCCTAGTCTCCACAACGTGCGTTTCCAATACTAACTTACTAGGTGGGCTATGATATTGCTTTACACTGAATACCTCTGAAATAGTTAATCTCGCATGCAACATACCGAGAAATGTACGACACATAATGGCTTATTCCTATGAGAACGACAGGTTCCAGGAATTTTTAACCATTGATAGAGTGAGTGAAGCAATCGGGCGGATAAATAATAGAGATTAAGGGAGGAAAACGAAGTTCCACTAACTTGATACGGATCCTGAATAACGAGATCCCATGAAGACGTAGTTGGAATTGAGGAAAGTAACTCCATTTGTTCAACCAGCAGAAGCTCATTATAAGCTTCCACTTGCGTGCTAAAGTTGATTAGAACATATCAATATAAAGGAATAAAAACCTGAGAAGCAAGAGCGGTAACAGGAGACAAGTCATTATCATTTCACAAAGTGCGCGGCGTCTTCAGTTCAATGTTACACAGGACCTGAACTGCAGAGATTAGGCAACACAGCAGTAATGAAAGGCAAGTCCAAACTATCCTCAAGCGGGTAAAATTCTCCCTCGAATATGACAAGGCAAGCCGTTGCAAAAACATGTAACCAACTCACAGTCACCTTGTACAAATTAATTTTTTCCACCCTCGATACTGAGGGCATTCAGTATTCGCACAATGGAGCTGAGTTTTCGAGAGGTACGATGTATCACTGATGGATTGGAAAGACAGACATTTGTGGTCAGAACACCAGTCCAAACTTTTAAACCACACCTAGACATCCAGGGGTATCAGTGATATCAGGAAGGCATTCTTCTGGAATTTTCCACCAGAGGTATGATTGCCTCATTGGAAAATGAAATTTGGTGAGCTGCGAAAATGTGAACGTAGACTAGGATGGTTTGTAATTTGAGTACATTCACGACAAAATGTAATATTTTAGCGCATCTGTTGCTCGCAAAGTTGCCAGATAAGTGACAAACCGGGACGAGCACACCATCAGCTGCAACAGACAATACTCCTCTCTGGATTGATTGAATTGAAGACTGGACTCGGAACCATCGGTATTGGGCAACTCGCTCGTGCTACTAGAGGGTGGTGGATACACGAACGCTACATGGTGCAATGTACCAGGGTGTACCCAACCACCGCACGAGGTTTTCGTCCCTCTTGCACGCTACCAAATCTGCAAGGTGTAAAAATTCCAAGTAGCCAATTTCGGCATGTGCATTAATAACTACTCCAGCTACCATATCTGAGTTTCTGCCGGAGGAAGGCGGGGCCAGTAAGAGAGCTCAGTCTATTCGGACAGGCAAACAGCAAACGGACGCTTGTAAAGATAGTTTGCGGTGGAGGCAAGTAAAAATAGCAGCTACAAATGGAACAGTGGGAATGAAATGGTGATACCCAGGGCGAGTGCATTACGGCCAAACGGCGACTGAGCACTCGTGTGAGTTACCATGTCAAGCAGACGCGTACCGTGATGCTGTACTTGAGAGTTTGGTGTGTTTTGGTGCACATCATAAATGGACCATATATACGCACTGGCGTATAATGCGCCTGGTGAATTCTGTTTGGTTTGTGTTAGAGTTAGCCCGAACAGAACACCAGCCATTAGATAGACCCGACAGAGTAATCCAGGATATGAACTTGGCTGGTGCGAGATATAAGGATTCTGGCAGAAAAAACCAGGCCATTAACAACGCATTCAGACCAAGCAGACATTTAACATACTACATTGGCTTGAAACAAGTCAAGAGGATAGCAGGATATAATGACGATATCTTATGCTTACCCACTAACTGTATCGTCGCTAAAGACAAATGTGCGTTAGACCCGATTAATAGAAAAGAATGGGGGGTAATTGAGCATTGCAACGCATATAAACACACAGTGAGACTCCAGACTCTCCACCATGACCATGCGAGGCTAGCATGGGAAGTCTTCATCATGGACCACTTATCAATTAAAGCTGATAGTAGTGTCTCGGGGACTGGTGACCATCTCCCTTACGTACATCTTCCCTCTTAGATCGTCCTAGTATCGCCCAACGCATTAATAACCTCCACGAAATCTAGTCCACCATCTCAGAATTTACACCCCCGCCAATCTTTGCGTGTTTAGTTACCCTCACCATACCGCCTCTTAGCCTACATACAGTGAACTCTCTTGTCTCAGGCAGTATAGTTATATTGTCAGTCCTAGCTTGACTTTGACGACTACACTACTGAGTGCAAGTCCATCCTTTTTCCGTCTTGCTTAACCACCTGGTGTCACCGCTATAACTGTGGTAGACGTTCATTTTCCCCCTATTAAAGGACCATACCCTATCTGATGACCCCTATAACTCTCCAAACCTCATTGATGTCATCTAATTTCATCTTCCTCCCAAGCTTCGACCCGTGATAATACGCGCTATGGACGACCTGGTTGGCCGTTGTCCGATACACCTGATCTGTGTATTACCAAAAGAAGGATCCTCGGCCTAAAAAAAACAACAACAAATACTACGCGCGATGTTACATTGATTTTTTAACCCTGTATAATCCAGCGGCGAACACATAACCCCCCGCTGACCACAAAACTGCGCATCTCAGCATAACCACCTCAACCACGAGGTCCGTCACGGGCTGCCCAGAAACCGAAGTAATTCAGTTCAGTGACGGCACGGCCTTGTGATACCCATTTTGATATTTTTTATTTATATATAAATAATATATTTATATATTTATTTTTATTCGTGTTTCTTACCAAGTCAGCCAATTTTCTTAGAGTTTGCATGAACTCGTTCTCCCAAATAACTTTAACACTCGACTCTGCCCCGAAGTGAGAGAACTAGGCGTTGGGTATTCCTGTACAATTAGCTGCAATTGCGACAACCATCCTCCCAAGTTTTCTTATCTATAACCCGCCACTCTATCTCTCATGCCTGTCTCCACTGACCTGGATGCATATCCCACCTCCGACCTTAAGCCTTTGTACCCAGCCCAATTATTCCTAGTTCTTCAGGCCTGGTCCCATCCCTGAGTAACTCTGTTAGCTCCATTTAATGTCTACTGCTTTGCTTTGGCTGGATTTAACTAACAACAGTCAACTAAAGCCTCGGTTCCACACTGTTTCGAACCATTCTGCATCCCCTGAATACGCGCAGCGCAAACATATCAAATGGTGGGTCTGAAGATGTGCTATGAATGAAATACTTGTTTGGCCCCACGGCCCAATCATTCACACATACACATAGCACCGGTGCACTTGTACTTGACAGAGTGGTTCACACCAATGCTTCGTTTTCGTTTAGCCATAGTATACACGCTCCGAAAATCTCCATTCTACTCCCATTGCCCAAAAGGTAGTTGATGTTTCATTTACTTCCGCGACTTGCCTCTTCCAGTGACTGTTTGCTGTTCGCTTGTTTGAAATGACTGAGCTGTTTTACTGACCTGGCTTTCCCCCTGACCGGATAAACTATCTGATTGCTAGAGTTATTTATCAATGCATAAACCACAATTATGACTGCTCGGTGGCTTGCTACCCTGTAGATCTTGTAGCATGCACGAGGGATGAAAAACTCGTGTGGTGGATGAGTACGCCCCGTAGGGAGGGTCGCCC